TATTTTTCGAGCTGTTAGAAAGTTGCGTGTTGCATGTCAGGTCACTGATGTGCAACACGTGTAATCTGTACATTTTGTGTGAATTTCTCACATTTACATCAATTAATAAATCTTACACCACCGAATCAAAAATTACTACATTACGTGTAAAGATACCGCAAGGTTCATTAAAATCTGTGAAAATCACCAAATTTGAACATAATAACTAATAGAAAGTCGACTCGATTTGTGGAAACGCAAAACCACCGTTAAAATACCAAACCCATAAGCGAAATGCGACCTCAGAAAACCAAAAACAATGTAGTAGCGCAAATAAATAGCTATTTGGTTATATTTACCACCTGTTGCGTGTTGAGTAAAGGGTAAATCATTTATAACGTTCATTCTATATTGATATTACTATTAATCATATACAATATCTGGCAACCTTGTTTAAAAACAAATTTTCATTTGTCATTATCACCATAAACAAATATAAGTAGTTTAAATTGAGAATTTCTCCTTACTGAATTTGGTGTAAAGCAAAACGACCAACCGGAAACATTTCAGTTCGTACACTTCCTGAATATCAATATTATGTACTGCCAAGTGTAAAGTATATAATATTCGTACATAAAATGTGTTATATATGGACATCCCATCTTTGGTAAAATATAAAATAAATTTATGATTTTGAACGGGGAATGCATCACGTAAACACCTTGTTTACGACTTATCCTAAATCGATTATTTATTATTTTTATTATGTCCAAACTTGAACAGTATATAATATACACGCCATATCCCAGGGTCAAATTAAATTTGGTATAAATTAACAATTGTCAATATGTTTTTTTTGTTTTGTTTCATAAGTTTTATTATTATGATAAGTTATATTACAATAAGGAAAAGAAAGTTGTTTTTCAAAATTTCGAGAAATTTGTCGATTCACAAGTGGAAATTTGTGACAAATAAGTTATTTGAAAATGCCGAAAACAACTAGGATTTGAATTGAAATATACGAAAAGACACTTGTGTGTAATAAGATAACAAAACCCACAAAATAGTTCTTCAAGTAGTTTTTTACAAATGAGATTAAAAAATTACAAAAAAAATGCAGTCGTGACTTATTTTTCACGTTATTCACCAAGAGCGAACCTAAATAAACTCAAGTTATTATAAGAACGTATAAGACACGACTAAATGACCATTGGTCATTTATTATTTGATCATATGCCAGGCACGGTGAACGCTCAGGGGAAAATAACATTACTAATTACCGAACTTTAAATTAAACAAAAAACCGTAGGTGTTTTCTTCTAACTTACATATTTAATCCGATGAAAATTATTGGCAATACGTAGAAATTTGTATATATTAGTCGGTCATACGGGGGTTTTAGTTTTTCGAAAAACTTGTCTAAATATATTGAATTTTTTAATAAGATTTACTTCGTTCGAACGATTTTTGAAAATTGTTATTTTGAAAACGTTACAGGTCAGTACCTATTTCAAAATTTTAAAATTTAAAAAATAACTAACAGGTCGACGATGATTACCAATAAGCACGGTTGGTTACTAGTGCTCACGTAACAAAAAAGTACCAAAAACAATGTCATCATCATTACGAAATAATAATGAAATCATATTGTATTTGTAATAATAAATCGTTGTGAAATAACAAACAATATTAATCTTAAATTTAAGATGGGCCAAACTTGAGCGCTAATAACGTATCAAATTTATCCTTGTGTCACTTTTGATTTTATAATATTAAAAAGTTAAAACATTTGTGGTTTGAGTCAATTTCTCCTTCTCTTTTCAAAACTTGAATTTTTTGTGATTTCACCGAAAAAATCCGATTTCGAAAGCAAATATCATGATTATTGTCTTAAAAATGTTGAATTATAAAGGATTACGTGATTTGAGACAAAAGTCGTGCCTTTGAGTGCTTTACTTCGGATTATTAAAAAGAAAGAAAAATGAAACCATTTTGTAAACATTGATTTTAGTTATCAAATCCAAAAATTGTTAACTTTTATTACCGTTTTTCGACGGCAGAGTCAACGTTAGAAGATTTTGGGCCGAGCATATTGCAGCATTCAAACAGAGACATAATCAGATACCAATCGGGTAACATCGAAATTGGGAAAAACCTAGTCGACGATGTTGTTTTTGTTTTTAGTCTTAAATAATAGATGAGTAATATTTTCGGCCGATGTGGGTAAGGTCATAGTTTTTCTTTCCGACCATGTCCGGCCAAGATCAAAACGTGAATAAATATGAAACTCAACTTTAGTTCACACTTGGTCCATATAAAAGGAAAAGGAGTCCAAATTATTGTATAAATAGTAAAAAATATGTTTTTCGTCAACAATTTATTTACAGAGTGTGGATGAAAGCTAGGTCCAGACAATTGATCAAGCTTAATTCATGGATGATTACAAGGAGAAAAAAGCGTGGCCCATACATATGTTACATTTGAACGAGAATACGCAAACCCACATAGAACTCGAGTTGGTAATTTGATAAACAATTGATGATTTTGAGACCAATAATTTACCTCCCTCGTCCTACGCGTCAAAACAATTTTCTATTAGACACAGGCCAGGGAAGTCAAAAGACATTGACGTAATTGTTGTCATAGCAACGGCACGTATTTGATCCAACAGTTTGCTACTATCGCCTACTGTATTTTATTATAAAAACAATTTTGTATATGAAAAAGTTCAGACTTCAAAACTTCTACAGTTTTTGAATGAAAATGAGCTAAGTAGCATAAGAAAAACGAATATTTATAAGATAATTGATGCCCCATATTACTATTGAATCATATTAATTTTGTCTGGAAAGTCTTTGATAAGTGAAAACAATTTTGACACAACTGCAAGGTGAAAGCGGTTAGACTCTCTTATCAACTCAACTTCTGGTATCTTCAACATCTTTAACATGTGTTCAACCACCAACTTGGTGGCGTTTCAAGGTCATAATATCAGATTTTAGCAAAGTATAGCCAATAAAACATTAAAAAAAATCGAATAAAGTCACAAAGCAAAGTTTGTCTTTAAAAGTATGCGGGTGGATCTTTTAACGATCAGAATACTTCATAGGCCAGATAGAAGGAGGAGATATTAAACTCGGAGAAAATCGTTTTAATACGTATTATAACTTATAAGAAACGATGTTACTTGATAATGTGAGGCGGTACATGTATATGTAATGGTAAACACGCAGCCTGTGTTATATATCTGTCATTACTGTGTGTGTGTTTTGGTGGTGTCTATAAATACAAATTGCTTCTTAGCAATAAACAATGTGGTCGCCTTGCTGATAGACAAACGATAAGCAGACAGACCAACAGGCCGACTGGAACTTTCATTTATGAAGATGAGTGTTCATCCAATTAAAATAGAAATTGTTCATACCATTTTTGTTCTATTTAAGCTAGAAATATGACCGAATTAAACATTGGCATAATCCAAAAATGAATTGCCGGATTCGAAAAAAAAATTGTTTCCAACCACCTCCCGTAAAAATATAGCAGGAAACACAAGGTGGTCTTAGAACGAAAGATTAAAAAAAAATTCGAGGTATATTTTTCAAGATCCGAATGCCGAGAAACTGATATAATTAACAGTTACATAATCAAAATAAAAAATTTAATTGTGTCGGTATCGAATACGCTGTTATACACAACATAATGTTATAACAAGCTTATGATTTATTTTAAGTTCATAACTGCGATCGCACGCAAATATTTTGTTATTTTGAACTATATAATCGGGCTGTTCAATTTATTCTTAGATACACAAAATACTCCATTGCTCATTTATCCTGACGTTATATAAGATAAAAAAAATTGGGAGTTATTTCAATTTAGATTCTAATTTAAAAAATCTTTAGTTTTATTATTGAAATAAACGACTATATTTGTGTGTGCAGATGTAAACCAAATTTTGGAACAAACCCAAGTAAAGCAACCGCCATTTCCTTTCCTTCCCGGAATACACCATAATAAATATCCTAATTGGGTTGCGTAATACCCCAATTAAACTAAATTAAATTATTTTTTTGAAATGTGACTGTTGTATAACAAACAGCATATGACGCTATCGTATAAAAACCCATCCCACCCACAGACACATACATATACAATTTTTCGAAAAACAAAAAAAAATATGAATATAAAATCACATTTGAAAATATTTTGCTCGCGTATGCCACCAAAAGAAACGTAAACATTTTGTTCTTTTTTTACAGTATGCAGAAAAACACAAGTCGACACAAATGTCATTTCAATTATACAGTATTGCATTCCAACTTGTATTCGTCAGTTTATTTTATTATTATAAAACGTTACTAAACTAATATTAACTGTGCAATGCTCAATTCCCTCATGACTATACCACTGGTAAGCCCATATGTCGAGTATGTTAGCGCAAGTACATAAACATGTAAACGACAGGGCAACACGGCCGATTTGGCGGGATGTCGCATTCGCAAACGTAATAATAAATTGGACCGGATGGCTTGACCAAAGTTACCCTTTTACTTTTATTTAAATTTCATTTTTGAGCTACTATTTTGAGTTATGATATTTATGTAAACATGTATGAAATTGTCGATTATCTTTTTAAAATACAATGGGGATATCATCCCTCAAGCTTACACTTGAATTTGCATTAACGTAACATTGTATATAGTCACTGGGGACTGAAATCTAAATTCCGTTCTATAGTAAGAGATTCAATCTGAAGACGTGTTGAATTTACATACCACAATGAAAATATGATCATGGCCTTGCGTATTGTGCAAATAATCTTTTAATGACTAACCTAGCGTTGTGTTTCTGTAGATTTCATTTTAACTGCACAGCCTTTTCTAACACGTTTTGCGTGAACGTGCGTCATTACGCGATTTCGTTGACGCATTTAGGTCCCCCAATATGGTATTTGAACAGGTGTCGTAAACAAATTAATCCTAAGAATCAAATGCAAGAATAAACTGAAAATGAAATCTTACCGTCTGTCGCTACCGTGAGCTTTTCTGTTGTGCAACTCAAGCCCGTGAGCTCCTTTAGCAGTGAAATTGCAATCTTGGCATTGTTTCTAAAACAAAATTGAAAAATAAGGAATGGTGAATAGCACTGATTAAATATTTGTACTTTTACATATACATTCAGTATTTCATTCAGCATATATTCGACCACACATAATTTTCTTACCCATCCATGAATATCATTCTGTTTTTCTGCATCTTCGGTTTCATTCGCAAGCGGTTGATTACTTCCAACCGAAGATGACGATCCCTTGCGACTTCTCACAGGTGACTGTCTGTTTGAATCTAAAAAATACATTCCGTCTTACTATTAACATATATATATATCTGTTTTAAGCAGGCACGCTTATTTATTTACTTTACATTTTAGCCTTTGTTGATATAAATACAAAAGAAAATAAACAAAACTTACTGTGGCTCGAAGGTCGTTTAGGGCTAACAACGTCTTTCGAATCCATGCTTGATGTTTTATCGTGGCTAGCGTTTTGCGATGCCATTTCCAAAGCTTTTTGTTGATATTGTATAAATTGAGCCAATGGAGACATATCGTTTCTAGCACTTGGCATCTATAAAAATTTAAAAAAAAATAGTTTTCATAAAAAAAAATTACATAATCTTCAAATTCATAAAATAAGCAATCGTACCGGTCTTTGCATGGATGCGGCGAGACTAGGGTTGCCAGAAATGAATGGATTTTGCATCAAAAGCTGTTGATAAATAAGTTGTCGAAGTTGTTCTTGTGATTGACCTAAAAATTATTAAAAAAATTCAAAAATTTTATTTCGCGTAATTCAAAAAATTGCAGCAATGTAAGATATATTTAACGGTATAAAAGAATATTATGAATAATGTACCTGCTGCATTAGACATGGCTGCTTGCTGGATCGCAGCGAGTTGTTGCTGTCTGTGGGTCGCATCGACGGAGTTTGCCTGGGATACATCTGGTATCTCTTTAACACTAGATGAGTTTCCACTCATTTGCAAAGCCAAGGACCGCATAAGTGGATCGGTGAAATACGACGATGTGCTGGTGACTGGGTTAGACATTGTTAAGCTGGGGTATGCCGCAGATCCGGGTAAATTAATTCCCGCGGCTTGTGCGGCCGCCAAGATGTTTTGAGCGTTGGTATAACCTGCTGCAGCCGCGAGCATCGAAGGTGAAAATCCCGGCAGCAAATTCATCATACCGGCTTCTGTGTAGATAAAAATATCAAAAAAAATCGTAAATGCATACGTATATATCACTATCTCCATACAAGTTATTAATTTCAAGTAATATTAATTAATACCTTGGCCATTGGGAGACTTCGACAAAGCTTCACGCTCCTTATGTCCGGCTACGGCAGCAGCGGCAACGGCTTTTGCTTTTGCGTTCGTAATTTCGAATTGATGCAAAGCTTGGCAATGATTTTCCAGCATTGCTGATGTGTCGTCTATGTATTTATAATCACAAAACCGACAACAGAAAGACGAAGTTGGGACGGATGTAACGCCATCAAAAAGCGAAACTTGAGATCCAATCTGAAAGAAAAATATCATTATTTATGATCACAAAAAGAAAAGAAATAATAAATAGTTGCTGAATATACCACCCAATACTTACCTCAATATCGTCCAACATAATTGGTGAACTCTTGCTCGCCAAAGACCTCATGGCTGCTGCCTTTGCTTGCGCATCCAAAGCTGAAGCGGACTTTAATGAAAATGCATCTTGCTGCGAAATCAATGATGGAGGTGACGAAGTTAGATTTGGAATAAGGCCGTGGGGGAGAAATCCGTTTTGAGCGGCGGCCATCATCCAAGCTTGATGGTTGACTGGAGTGGCCCCCGTTTCGTGGTGATTTGGGGAATTTTTACGTCGGGGGCTATGTCGTGCGTCACCGGTAGTGTTGTCTGAAGCATTGATGAGGGTTTTACTGAATGAGTTGAGATTGCCTTGCATTTCTTCTACAGATGAAAGGGAATTTGGTCGTTGAGGGTGATCACTTCGTCCCAATCCTTCTGGAACAAAATAGCACTTTTTATTCAAGAATACAAGTTCCATCACATTTTGTATACGGCGTTTCGAATATGGAATTTGACATAAACCGCTAGGGATGGTTTTAAGTATACAAAGTCCAATAAACTTATTGACACTATATAGTATTCGATAGACACTGTAAACAATATGATGAAACACATGTATTTTAGGAGTTCGCGTACAGCTGCTTAGTTAGTCAACACATTCGCGGAATATTTATGACGTAACCAGTACGTAGAAATCAGAAACAAACAAGAGTTTCTAAATCAGAAAAACGGATGTTCGGTAGCAACCTCATCATAGGAAATAATATAAAACGGATGTAGTGTCAATGTTCTTCACGCAAAGAAAGACAACTTGTTTTGTATTTAAGTTCATGGGAATCTGAGACGAGATTTGACTCAACCAAGTGAGCAAACTTGTTTCGACTTTCAGTTAGTTCATAGTAAAATTGCACGTACTCAATTATTTCGGGCTTTGAGTTTGACATATTTCTTTATGAATACATCTGTAATACACAACCCTTGCAATAAGGAGAGTCCCTAATTAAACACCGTACTGTCGGATAGTGTTTTAATAAATGTAAATTTCCTAAGCTTACCTAGCGTTGGTCCCTCTCCTTGTTTTAAAACGACCATACGAGGATGCTTCCCTCCCATGTTAGCACTTTTTGAAGGCGGACTAGCTGATCTCTTCAGTACTTTTGTTGATTCATGGCTCATTGTATAGCCGATACTGGGTTCTGGTGTTCGTGATCTCGCGGGACCCCATCCTGTGTAAGTTCTACCGGTATTTGTTGCATGCACGCCATTACGAGACGGGCTGTTTCCTCCAGGTCCACTTCTCGGCTTCGCGTTCCTGTTAGAGGCTGTTAATATGAAAATACAAGAACATATCACCGTATATTCTACTAAGATAAATTTGATGGATCGAATTTATGATAAAATACTCACCGTCGTTGTTACCGTTATATTTTTTATTTTTATATGCTGAGATAGGGGCAAGCGCGGCTCCTCGTCTTCGTCTTCTTTTGAAACTGTTTTCGTTTCCAAACTCTTCAAATCCTTCTCTTGTCATGGTCCAGTAATTCGATTTAGCGGCATTTTCGTATCTTGGAACTGTAATCGAAAAATATGATCGATTACAATTGTCCACCTAAGGACCATCGATGCCTGAAAGCGACACACAAAAAAGGGACCATGTCAACATTTAAAAATAATATACGTTGGCAATTTTATGAGTTTATTAATATTTATATTGTACAACGATGAGACTCTATTTCTCCATTTGTTAATGTTGCTTCGTAGCCAAATAATATACATTAAAGAGTGAAAATTTCAGAGAAAATCGATCCTATTTCAGTTTGACGTACAAACATAAACACACTAAGATTACTGTTTTGCATAAATATTATATTCTCGTTGACTTCATACGACAGAATTAACATTTTCTAAAGATCCTTTCTATTTTGTCTTTTGGCAGAAGAAGATTTTGAAATTTTGGGGAAAAACACATTTTTGTTATATGTATATACATTGACAAAAATTATCAATCAAATAACAAATTTTTATATATATTTTTTTTAATTTCTAAACATAGTCTTTGTACCGATCATGATAAATACGCTACACTAAAAAACTAAATGATAATAACAGCGTACTCGTTTCACCTATGACTACCGTATGGTATTTGTTACGTACAATAACAGTGGTAGTTTAGTTTTTGTTTTAATTAATATTTAGGTATTATTCGGCACATACTTATTCAACTATTTTCTATTCGTTCTGAAAAATGATTGAACATTCAACATAAAAGACATTGTTACAAATAGAATATATAATAAAATGTAAATACCTTTTACAAAACACTGGTTGAGACTCAAATTGTGTCGGATTGAATTCTGCCATGCAGATTTGTCATGCCCAAATTTGTAATACAAAAAGTTGTTCATGATATAATCGTATATGCCACGAAGTGTGATCAAGTTTCCTGGACTGTCCAAGATGGCGGATGCAATCAAAGCCGGATAAGTGTGTGGTGGTCTTTTATAAGGGCACTTTTCGTCCACGTTGTTAGCACCACGTCGTCCTGGCCTGCTCTCGTTGGCCGCTTTCTGACCGACAATACCTCGGGGCGGATTTGGTCCCGTTGGCGCGTTTGGAGACACTTTGATCCCGCCAGATTCGTTTTCATTTCGCCTCGTTTGAGAGAATGCATCATTCTGTTCGTTAAATTGTCCGCGAGGCATACCGTCGTGTTCGACCAAATGGAACATTGGAGGGGGTCCGTTTTGTGGGATTGCAGAAATAGCGGGGACCAACGTAGGCAGTCCTATTCCCGAGGCCGCCATAGCTGCTGCTGTAACCCCCGAGTTTCTCATTTCGTCTGGGTAATGTAATCGGGGTGAATGTTGCCCAGGCGAGTGATGTGAATATGCCAACGATGAAGAGTGAGGAGGCACCATAGTTGAAAGAAATGAATTAACGCTCCCACCTGCCATCAACATTGCCGAACTCGGAGTCAAATGTGAAATGGCCGGATTTAAGATAAGCTCCGGTGGTGATGGGAGCGCAGGTTGATTCCTACTCCCCGGTGAACTGGGACTGGGTGATCTTTGTTCGGTCGGTGAGTGGCTGCCATACGACGACGGCGGCGAGTGCGTTTCCATTGGTCCATTTCTGTGATACATCGCCATTCTATTATTTATCGCCGAAACCGGCTCTTGTTTGATAATATGTGACATTTTGTCTTCGTTGTCTTTCTCCGCTAACAAAGTACTGTCCTCGGATTTCTTAGTCGTTTGTACAAAAGGCTTAAGACACGATCCTTCGCTATCAGATCCTGGGTTAGTCGATGGAGAAAATTCCGGACTGCTACACGAGTCGTTGAGTAAAGACGACCCACGATGATTCTGCTCTGTTGTACTTCTGGAGTTTGATCTGACTAATCTTTCAGTATTTGAAAGATGATTTTCTGTTACCAATTGAACATCAATCATACCTTTATCTTGTACGTTGTTTTGATTCTCTTGCTTATGCTTCCCAACCGTAACCTCTCTATAGTTTCCTTCCGATTGGGCTAAGTTAATATTGGCAGTTTCCTTATCGACGGCAGTATTTATACCGGCAGTGGTTGATTTTATCTCGTTCGCTTTGCACGAGATGCCTGCCGACTGCTCTCCGCTCTCTTTTTTCGCTTTCAGCATGCGCCGCACAACCAAATCAAGGTTGCGACTCTTTTTGTCTTCTGACGATTTTTTTAAATTAGTTTGTAGATCTTGAATATTGTCTTTATTTCTATCGATATCATTTGTGGTTAAATTTAAAGCACAGTCATCTGCATTCCTCGCCCCTTCCGCGAGGTTTGATAAAGAAATTTTCTCGAATATTTTTTCTTTGCTACTTTTACGTCGTGATTTTGACAGAGAATGTGAATGCTTTTTTACTTTTGAATGTTGTGTAGTTATATAACTGGTTTCTGTAAAAAGTAAAAGACAAAAACAAAATGATTAACTCGTGATTTTGGCTATAGCCGCATTACTTATAAATAACAAAAATCAGAATGGTATCGAAACATTGCATTTGGATAATTAGACAACGCGAGGTGCGTTAATATACCTTCCGTCATATTAAACATTATTCACAATTTTACACACACAAGCATAATTTTTCAGATGTCTATTTATTTATTCGGGAGCTTCTAAATAATATGCTTTACTTCGTTCTTAAAATGTATTGGTTTGATAATTATCAACTGTCACAGGGAAACACATTTGTGAAATGCCCCGTGAAAAAGTCTGTCGTTCGCATTTTGTTTCCCGAAATATTCTAAAAATAGATTACAATATCACGCGACGGAAAAAATGTAACACATTTGATCGTTTAACGCTCCTTTTCCTCACAATAGATTTGTTTTGGTCGAATTATCCTATAATATTTGAAGTGTACTCACAATTTAAACTCGATTAAGCATCATTTTTTCGTAATTGCAGTCAGAATTTTAAAAATTCATTATAAATTATACACTTAATGATTATCGTTTCAGATGGAAATAACATAAAATTGAAATACAAAAAAAAACATAACAAATCAGTACAATACACAATAATACAACCCTTACAATAAGCTAAGGAAGTAGTAACTCAACACCGCGTGCCAAGGGAAACAATTTACAGCCTAACATAATATGTGATATATGTTAAGTTACAAGAAATGTTTGTGGCAAACTACGGTGCGCGTTATCAAATTAATTATTGCCGTTAGTATGGGATTACTTTGTCCAAAGAAAAGGTATTGGTAAATCATGTCTTTAGGACGTGGCCACAGATTGTAATGTGGAATTTAGAATGAAAAGCAAATAAATCCATATGCTGAACGCATTGGTGTTCTATTGTATAAGCTGCATTTTGTTTGTGAGTTTTGGTTGCATCCTTGCGTACAAACAAGCAAACAATATAAATATACAATGGCGCTTCTTGCCATTTGAACGTACAATTAAAAGAACGAGATTCCCGTATCAGGAAAGGCATCGAATTGCAAATGATAATTGCACAATGTGCGTGTTATAAATTGATTGTTTTCCGGTTCCGACTGCAATATGAGAACGGCGATAATTCCTTCAACGCTAATTTAACGAGAACTTAAACAGGGACAGGGATGTCCCTTTGTACAATCCAAGAAATTTTCACAAAAAAATACAAAATCAAATTGTACTAAACGTTCATTTAGACATGTTAAGCGTACGACAAGGTTGTCCGCTGTAATCTATAGTCTTTATCATATGCACATCAAAATATCGAATTGTACTCACTGCAATAATTCAATATATATATATGGAACCTGTACAAGTTTTGAAACATTTTGGTTGTCTTCTACTCGTGTCAGCAGGTCCAGTCGGATCGCGAACAACCGTGTAAAAAAAACGGGGCGAAAATTTTAGAAATTCCATAATTTCCTATTTTACGCAGAAAATATCACCGCTGTAACACAAACATTATAGTTTTGTTATGGATGCAAAATGCGAAACCGGATGGAAATAGACTAATCCAAACTCTTCCGTTGAATGAAACAACAAAGGAGATTGTCATAACATTTATTATCCTGTCTTTAAACTAGACACAAGACAACAAACTGCCAGCCGTGTTCTTTCAATGATAAAATTTTAACAAAGAACCACGTTGGTAGTGGCAACGATTTCGTCCTGATTTACACTAAAATCGGGTCATCGGCCCAAAAATAATGTCGTTTATTTCATGATGTATTTACATTGATTCATATACCGACGCGCATATATACACATTCTATATTTTTATTTTTAAATGTTACATAAATCATAATCTTTTGCTTCTGACAGCAACGCAATATGCGTCAGAAACGATTTGTTAGCACACATACAGCGAGTAATAACAATATTTTCCTCTTTAACATAACTGCTTACTAACACTCACCAAACTAAACCAAATACATAGTCATACTTGCGTTGTCATAAATGGTCTGCATTAGTCATACACCACAGTTGACCACTGGCTACAAAACTGACCAATATCATGAAGTGTACGTATGTGAATTTGTAACGAAAAAATCGCGATGAATGATATTAAATTTATCGTTGATGTAATGCTTTCTTGGATTCATTAGGAGATGGTAATGAACTGACGGTCCAATAACACGGAGGAATAAAACGTCATTTTGCTGCACCTTACGTCAGTCTAAAATTTAATGCAGTGTATGCAACATCATGGTGATCGCGTGAATTTTCGTCCTATTCCCCTTATACGGCCACATCTTCACGTTGTTGTCATAATTCACCACTATTTATTAACTCTGTAACTCATAATAAAGGTGTACGCCAGCAGTAAAATGTATATAGATTGATATCGAATAGATAGACTGCGTGCATGCACTAAACTTTTCTTTTGCATTCGTGAACTTTCCTTTCATAAAATAGTTACCACTATAGATGGGATATAACTATTGGGTTTTACATTGTCTAAGTGAGGTTTGACGCAATTTCATGATTATGACGTAATACTGAACAAAGACCAAGAAACTTTGAACTATTCGGCTATTGTAGATAACTAAATATAGCTCTAATCGCTTTTTCGGTTGCTTTATCTTGGTGCAGTAATACCAAAAACTCTAGTCTACATCCACTGATTTCTCTTTTTCGAATCTGATTGAATGACGGAACTATGTAAATTTGAAAATTCCATTAAAATACTATTTTCCATTTAGTGTCATTTGAAAAATGTCTACAAAATCCTCACCTTCGAAAATGATCTTACATTGTAAGTTAGCCTTTTACGCTACTATTTTGTTTAGATCGATACTACCGATAACAGTCTAAAGGCGACGGCGTTACTTCTAGTCAGATTTATCCCCAAACGATTCCATGTTTACTCGCGGTATCTCAACATAACTTTTTTTCTTTCATTCGTTTCTCTCGTATAGTCCGGAATGCGAATGTGGCAAAAACCTTGGCACGCTATTACTAATAGCTGAAAAGCATCAGTTAAGTATAATAAAAAAATAAATTAAATTTTATTATCAGACATAAATTTCGGGCACGACACACGCGAGTCTAAGCATAACAGAACGTTTAACGAGGCCATGTTGAGAGCTGACAATTTTGTAACTGTATTCTCTCGCTACTTAAACCTTTTTCTTTCTCTACAGAAATCGTGAATGCAAATTCTCTCGTATACATTTTCTGTTGTCGGTGCGTGTTCTCATTTGTATCACAAATCATGTCTTAGTAGAGACACCTCTCTTGTATGACCTAAACAGGTCTCAACTGTATGACGAGCCACTAATGTCTTTTGGGCATACAATCACGTCTGTACAAACATAAATTCGAATTTGCTTGCTTATTTTTCAGCTTACTAGGATGACTCTCTGCTGTCATCAAGCGGTTGAACCCACTTGTCCACCCGTGAGTAAAGAAACGTAGCACTGACGCAGATGTGCCTTAGAACGTTTGCACGTTTAACTGTTGCATTTGCGTATTCTAACTCGAGTTTGGTGACATAGTTTTGGTTTCGCGTTTTTCACTTTTGTTTCGAAGAAAATTTGACTACACAACGGCGATCTATTTATTCACAAGTACGACGAAACAGCTAACATTCAAAAAAAACTATTGTTAAATCTATTTATGGCGTATTGTTTCAAAATATGCTTGCAATATTTACGATGTAAAATGATTACCATAATGGGAGAGAAATTTTGGACTTTGAATTGTGACCATCGCACACACAATTGTAACGCGAGAAGGCATTATTACTTAAAGATATGCTATTGCTTTATAAAATATCAATAAAATACACAAAATAATGTCATAATATGCGGATATTAAAATTGAAACAAAACAAACAAACGTTAAAATAAAGGCAAAAATGCCTCCAAAGTACCATCACTAAGACCAGTATATACAATATCTACTACAAATAATTACCACATCAGTTCAAGCTGCCAATTAATCTTACGAATTTAGCTGAAGCCTGTTTCATAGTATACATATGGGACATCTCATAATAAAGTTCTCGCTACCATACTCTAACTCTAACTAAATATATACTTACAATGTTGTAATATTTATTGTTCACTCACTATTTCTCTATAGTCTCATACGCTATAAGGATAAAATGTGAGAAAACATCAGAATACAGATAATTATGCCTATACGCTTAAATAAAATCTCACAAGAATATATATATTCAATCTAATGATACGCCTTAGCTGGAAACAGTCTTCACTTGACACTCTCGAGATCAGACAATTAGCTCACAATGAGCTGGATAAAATACTCTTCCACTCGTCAAGACGAAACGCGACTGAAACTTCGAAACTATCTATAATCATATTTAAAATAGACAATAAAAGTTATTCATTATACTACACATAGATTGAGTGAAGCTGTCCGACAAAAACTAACGTTTCTCCTATATTTCATGCGCTGACGTTTTACCGCGTAGACGTCACAATACACGGTCACGTTTTCACGTTCTGGGTTCATGTACTTTGATCACCTGTGAAACACGTATAAATCGAGTCTCCAAAATTTGAATTATATATGGCCATGCTTAAACTTGTGAGTCATGTTTTTTTCGTAATTCCGAATATTATTTTGTTGTCATTGTGAAAATAGAAATTCCAAATCATAATCGTTATACCAATTTTACAAAAAGTTTATCAACAGAAAATAATCCTCTGATTTACGAAAATAAATGACGCTATCAAAAATCCCAAAAATGTGACATCATCTTAATGTCATGACAGTGATAATTAATCAGCCTAGATGAAAAATTATCGCCAAATTGAAGAAAACAAAGACTCACATTCAGGTCTTTTGGTAACCAAGATTATTATCTAATTTAAGCTAAAACAAATTAGCGGACAACTTGTTCACAAAACGGAAATTGATTAGAATATTCACCAAAAATAGTTTAAGTACATTTCGGGGAATATTCAAAACGTGAAAAA